CTATAGAAGCCTTTCCTGTTATTTTTAATGATGTCCCTTGCCAGATTTCATTATATGCTAATAAACATGTTGTGAGTAGGCAAATAGTAACAGATGAAATTTCTGAATTTTCCTAGCATATTGACAAGGCACTGGATAAATTTGAAAATAACAGTAATACATCAGGAGATGAGGCATCTGAGAAGGCAGAGATTTTATTTATTTATTTTGGTTTTTTAGGAGGCATTTATTTATTCAACTAGGCACCTAAAGGACGGAATGCCAGCAAAAACATGTTTCTGCTGGGTGCTTCTGAGATATGGGGCAATGATAGGAAAATAGAGGAGATCTTGAGGAAAACTGCTGTGTCTCCACTCTTCTAAGATGAACAAGCAGTTTTTCATGTTATCAAATAACAACTGTCCAGCCAAAACAATTGTTGCTATCAGCCTCCCCACTCCAGAAGGTTGTTGAAGACTTCAGTGCTCCATGCTCTTGGTTCAGCACACCAAGTCCAGCACAGGGGGGCGGAGGACGTGATTGCCCAAGGGCATCAGTTTCGTGGGCCGTGGTTCCTCCAGCCCTTGGCCTTGTTGCAGGGCGTCATTGTGTCTGCTGCTTTGCTTTCCCTTCTGACTTCAAAATGTTACGCTGAAAGCTGTCTGTTCATAAGGGCAAGTATGGCATCATTAGGCCACTCAAAAATTAGTGTAATTATATATACAAATAGTGGGGGTGATCCATGTCACACCTTCTTAATATTAAAGTCCTCTGCCACTCAACTTTTCACTCTTCCAATGCAGACATTTTAATTTAAAATACAGTAATGTACCTAAGGAGCCATAGAGCACAAAACATGGAGACAACACAGAACAGTACAGTTTTGTATTGGTATTTTTGACTGGAATCCACCTTAATCTCAAATACTTATTCTAAGAAAAAACAATCCTACTTAATACTTCATTTTAATGACATCCTCCAAAGCCTGTATTATCTTCCTTCTTTCCTAAAATGCTCTTTGTGGAGAAGCAAGTCAGAATTTGTTTGCTATGGTTACTTTTCAATTGGTTCATTATTAACAGGTGTTCCATGTGGTTTTTAGAGGTGTATAATTTCCTGTTTGTAGTTTCTGATTTAATTAACTACATCTGCTTGAAACAGAATGATGTATATAAGCAGGTTCCATGAGTGTTTGTAAAGGAGATAAAAGTACAAATGCTCCCTTATTTATTTTTGTTTAGCAGATATTACTTATCATTTCTCAGTGCTCAGGAATGTCCACAATATATTTGCTGAGTCTGGGTCAGATTCAGGCACAGTGTTTGGTTTTTCTTTTTTATTTATCAGTGTGTCTTGTTTCCTGCAATTAACCATTGTGTTATTTACCTGTGCTCATGTTGTTTGTTGTTTATCTACTTCCATATTACATGACTTTTCTTCCATTGAAAGTTTGCTAATTATGAAGCACTGCTTATATTAAAGGCGACTGTTGTGTCTACAGGAATTGCCCACAAGCCTTCAAGCTGATATCTGTGTTTTCCTTTGCATTAGTGAAATGTTTTCTTGGCTCTAATCTATCAGTGTAGGCCTTTGCAGAGGAGATGCCGAGCCTTTCTAATACAGGGAGTATATGCCGGGGATACTCTCTTTATAATTTTGCACATTCTGCATGCTCTCCATTACCAACATGTAGCAGTGATTAAGAAGAAATAAATAACTGGTCCATCATTAACCTAATGGAGACAAAGTTAAAAGTGAGAAGAAGGATTTCAAGAAAAATTGCCATTGTAGAATATTGGCCTGGCCATCTGCAGATCTTCCAGGCATAAAACAGTCCCCAGAGCTGTATTTCCATAGTGATGCACAGGAACACTCGTATTCCAGGTACCCCTACCTGCATGACTGTACGGAGTGGAAAACTGGAGTACATGGGCCAGAGGCAAGATATGCAGGTCAAAAGAGGTGATCCTGCCCCTCTGCTCTGCTCTCCTGAGACCTCACTTGGAGCACTGTGTCCAGTTCTGGTGTCCTCAACATAAAAAGGACATGGAGCTGTTGGAGTAAGTCCAGAGGAGGGCCACGAGGATGATCAGGGGGCTGGAGCACCTCCCATATGAAGACAGGCTGAGAAAGTTGGGGCTGTTCAGCCTGGAGAAGAGAAGGCTGCGTGGAGACCTCATAGCAGCCTTCCAATATCTGAAGGGGGCCTATAAGGATGTTGGAGAGGGACTCTTTGTTACGGACTGTAGTGGTAGGACAAGAGGTAATGGCTTTAAACTTAAACAGGGGAAGTTTAGATGAGATATAAGGAAGAAGTTTTTCACAGTGAGGGTGGTGAGGCACTGGAATGGGTTGCCCAAGGAAATTGTGAATGCTCCAACCCTGGAGGTGTTCAAGGCCAGGTTGGACGGAGCCTTGGGCGACATAGTTTAGTGTGTGGTGTCCCTGCTTATGGCAGGGGAGTTGGAACTAGATGACCTTAAGGTCCTTTCCAACCCAAACTATTCTTTGATTCTATGATTCTATACTTTTGGGTTCCATTCAGAGCTTCAGTCTGGGTCTTGGGAGGAAGGACTGTAGGGTCTGCTGTAGGGTGCAGTTTCCTCACACCTGGGTGAGCCTGTGTTACACTTGGCGTGAATCAGGGCTCAGTTTTTAAATTTTTGTCTTCTCCCATAAATTTAGAATAGTTCAGTAAAGAGAGACTTCAAATAATCATCTAATCCAACTGCATCTCCACCTGACTGTGAAACTGCCCTTTTCTCTTTAAGAATCATATTACTGAAATCCCAGTTCTGAATTAGTCTTCATCAATGATAATGACACGGTTGATAGCTGATTGAGTGAGACTTCATATCAGAAGATATCCCAGGTACCCAGATATTTCTATGTCTTTTATAAATACAGCTTTGCTGTCTGAGACTCTTCCTTTCCCTCACCCACCAGCAGAGATCTTGCACGGCAATTCATGTGCTGCAATCCATGATACTGTTTAAGGTGGAATAGAATTGGACAGAATTGTATACTGCTTTTTTGTTTTTCTTTTTAACTACTTCCACTGGTTAATTCTCTCCATTATTGTCACAACTCAAAAATATTTGTCCATGTCAGATGAGAGGGCTGGAGCACCTCCCGTATGAAGACAGGCGGAGAAAGTTGGGGCTGTTCAGCCTGGAGAAGAGAAGCTGCGTGGAGACCTCATAGCAGCCTTCCAGTATCTGAAGGGGGCCTATAAGGTTGCTGGGGAGGGACTCTTCATCAGGGACTGTAGTGATAGAACAAGGGGAAATGGGCTTAAACATGGATAGGGGAAGTTCAGATTAGATATAAGGAAGAAGTTCTTCACTGTGAGGGTGGTGAGGCCCTGGCACACGTTGCCCAAAGAAGCGATAAATACTCCATCCCTGGCAGTGTTCAAGGCCAGGTTGGACAGAGCTTTGGGTGACATGGTCTCGTGTGAGATGTCCCTGCCCATGGCAGGGGGGTTGGAACTGGTTGATCTTAAGATCCTTTCCAGCCCATTCTATGATTATTAATGCTGTCGTGGCAGGGAGGCAGCAAAATGGAGAACTGCAGCAAGCGTGTGCATTCCTAGGAGCATCCATGGGTGCCATGGAGCAAGGCAGTGAGTGTTGTGAGCTCTGCTGCAGATCTTCTCCCAGGCCTGCAGTTCATGCTGAGCATGGAAGCAGCTGCTGCAAGGCTATGTCCTGAGTAGCAAAGGGTCTTCGCAGCATGGAGACTATGTGCCTTCAGCATCAATAGCAGCCAAAGTTGATACTCCTCTGAGTTTTCATTTTCAGCATAAAATTAGTCTTTCCAATTCTTTTCACATTAGGAAGGTAAGAAGAGCTGGGAGCCAGGATTTACTGCACCTATAAAACAAGATACCACCAGTAAAGTTACCTGCAGCATCTTGCCTTTGCGTAAAGGCAAAGATGTTTGCCTGAAGTCCAAAATTCAGCAGCAACCAGGAGCAGAGGCTGTATCCCATCTTTGTGAAAGCAGTAAATCCTTGCTGTCAGCTCCTTTGACTTTACAGCTGAACATACGTGAACATACCTGAGAAAGTGTTGCATCCAATTCACTGCTTTGGGCTGTTAAAATGCAGTGACATACACATTTGCAGCATTTAAGATGGATATTTCTTCCACCAGCTCCATCTTACAGTATTTTCTTACCCAGCAAAAGAATTGTTTCAGTCTATCATTTTCTTCCTCTTTTAATTATAAATTAGCATAGGCAGGAAAATAATAAATAAATAAATAAATAAATGAATGAATGAATAAATAAATAAGCAAGCTTTTCTCTACAGTTAGGCCTTCACAGCTGTTTAGGTAAATGTGTTTAAATACAACTAAATTAAGTGGAGTAACACTAACTTGTGAAAGAAAGACAAGCTTTAGTTCTTTGAACAGGCCCTGCCGCAGCTGGTTACTTGATTTACATGTTCTTAATACAGTCTTGAAGTTCTGTTTATTAGGTTTCATTGGAAATTTCCTGTTTTTGTTTTCCAGTGAGATGACAAAATTGCTTTGTTCCCACATAAGTCAGAAGTAGGACTGTCTATTAACTATTCAATGGCTATTACTTTTCAACTTGCCAAATGTGAAAGTAAGCAGTAGTATCATTTTCACAATTTTTTGAGCATAATGAATTCATTAACGGGATCTGATTATGGCTTCATAAACCAGAAGGGTAATGATTTGGTGCCTGTACCTGTTACATTTGGTTAAAGTTTGTATTTTCGTAGCCTCCAAAAACCCAGATAAAGAGTACAGCCTTGTTAAACTATGTAAACAACCCTAATGTTTAGCAGAAAGTCTTAAATTACTAAGTTAAGGAAAAACAAACCAAACATCAACAACATGTAAGCAGTGACTTCAATAAATGAAATTACTCTGTGAACAGCCCCTGTTCTGAGTTAGACATTGATTGCTGTGAAAATGTAACTTATCTCTACACTCATCAACAGTCTTACGATTAGAGAAGTAATTTTATTTAACTCTGAACTGTGCTATACAATGCAGTACCTATAAAAATAGAACCTATATCTTGTGTTCCTAGATGCAGAAATCTCAGTCTAGCTATTTGGAGTGTGTTTATTACCCAACATCTACAAGCACTTGTAACTATACTCGTGGTATACTCTTGTCTTTGGATCCTGAGAGAACTCCATGCCTTTCACTCACTAGTCTCGAGGCACAGGACAGCTTGCATTTGATTTGGCATCCATCTGTGATGTTTCTTGTTAGCTTGATGTTTCTTGTCTGTGTTGCTAAGCAATACAGGCTCTTCTCTATCAGGCATAAGCTTCTGTTTCTGCAACTTCAGGGCTTTTGGAATGAAACTGAAATTATAAAATAAACAGGCACCTTGTCATTTGGTAAATACATTTTAAAGATCGTTTATGTTTGTATTCGAAATGTGCTAAAGTGAGGCCTCTGTTGCCGAAGCAGTTCTCTGGTGGGTGGGATTGCATTCTTGATGGCTGCTTTCACATGCATTCATTTCCTTGGGATGATGTCAGCTCTAATTAAATGTGCAGCTGACTCCAAAGCTGGAGCAGCAGCAGAGCTTCAGAAGGGCTGGGAAGAGACCTCTAAAGCATACTGGAAGAACAGCAAAAGACAAGATGAATGCAGAGCTTTTACACATGTGTTAAGTGACAGGTGAAATAAACTTCAAGGCTATGAAAGATTGGAGGAAAGAGGGGAACACAATAAGGAAGTCAGAATTCAATCTTGGTGCCTTACAGCTGTGGGCTTGCTACACTATGGCCCAAGGCTTCAGGATTTCAACACAGAGATATTTCAAGGCTGTGTCCCTGAGCGTAGATGAATGGCCTGTGAAGTCATTGCTATTCGTAATCTTCCTCTTCGGTATCCATCCCACAAAAGCCTTCCTAGTGCAAAAAATGAATTTAATATGGTATAAACCATAGACATGGTAGAGTTGATGGTTGGAGTAGAGTGGAAAATGTTTGACTCCTGCCAAACCTTATCTTTTTGTATTTTTGGCACAGCTCTAGAAGTAATCTGTTGATGTGGTGCTGTGTGGATGAAACAAGATACATTCAGATGAAGGTTGTATATAATGTATATAACAATACAGGCTGTGTTTCTTACCTATTTTCCTAAAGAAAGAAGACAATGCCATTCCTTTCTGCCCATATCCTTGATGCTTTTTGACCTGATGGGCAACTTTAGGAGTATTTAGGGAAATAAATGTTGGGAAAGAAATAATACAGTGAAAGAGTATCTGGAAAAAGTGGAGAAACCCAAGTTAATGACTTTTGGAGAGAAGACACATCATTAAGATAGAAGAGCTGTGTTTTGACCTACCTGCTCTTCTGTTGGCACGTGCCCACACAGCAAGAAGCAGGTCCTTTCCAGCCCTAACTATTCTATGATTCTATGACAGGGTGTGTGGCTGGCTTTTCTCAGGAATAAACTGATAAGGGCAGGGAAAGAGAAGGGAAATGCGAGAGGTAGGGAGAAAACTTGATTGTCTCTGTGCAGGAGGCAAGAGTTGAAGGCAGTAAGATGGAAAGAAGTCAGAGATAATATAGGTGAAAATAACAAATGTAAAATTTAAATATGTGGTAAAGCAAGGTTGGTTAGTCCTAGAGCTTATGGAACAACTTGTGTTAGGATTAGATAAGAGGGCCAGTCAGGCTGGGTTTTGTTTGGGTTTAATATTTCTGCTTTTCAGGCTTCAGTTTTAGCAAAGATAATTGTTAATTTTGTGTTTTTCAGGTTTTGATTTTATCCGTGCTGAAGGGTTTGTGTTTTCTCATGTTGCTGATGAAGGGATTATAAATGCCTGTGCAGGTAACCTGCTACGATACAGAAAACAAGTTGGAGCAGAGAACATTCAGATTTTTGCTGATATTAAAAAGAAACATAGGTAAAAACAAGCAATATTTTATGTAAATATGAATGTAATAACGATTTTATTTTTCTACATTTTTTCATTTTTTCTTCAAGCCTATTCAGTGTCAGGAAAATTAATGATATAGGGAGAATTTTATTGATGAAGCAAGGTCTTGCAGTGCTGTTAGGGTCATTATGTGCTATTACACTTAAAAATTAATTGCACCTGTAAGCTCCATGTTGCTGTGTCTGTGAAGTTTGCCATTGTTTAACCTTGAAGATTTATAAATGCAGACTGAAAAAAGTTCTACATCTGGCATTAGGTGAGATTTTGTTTACTTGTCTATTATGTTTAAACAAATTTTCTTTCTGGAGGCTAGGCATACAAGGTTGTTTTGAGTTATGCAAGCAGTTGCCATATAAAAGCATCCAAATCATAATATTATGGCATTTAAAAAAGGCATTCTCTTTTTCCCCCCCCCTGCCAATAATACTGGTTTCTTCTACTTAAATCAGTGCTATGTATGGATTATGTTCTATGATTATCAAACAGAAGGAACTTATGACAGATGAATCCAGTTTCTTTTCTGCTAATACTTTATCATAACTGTCACCTGTTACTTTCAGCTATTTAGATGTCAGTCTTAGGTTGTTTTTTTCCCCCAGAAGAACTGCTCAAGTGTTATGTATTATACATGCTAAATAACCTAATTAAAATGTTTGTGTGTAGTATGTGGGTAATCATGAGAATAACCAAGTCTGGAAGATCTTAAATACCTAATAAACAGGTAATAAATTTCAAAGTAGAATGGAAACAATGCAGCATGGCCAAATTAAGCTTTTATGGTCCTCTCAGAGTGGTTTCTTTCTAATGATTTATATATATAAATAGATCTATTTATATATATATAAATATGTGTATATATAAATTAAAATACACTGCGTTAGACTTTTTTCTAAAAAACCTGGTAGCATCATGTGACTTTGTCTTGACAATTGATGAATTGATGTCTGGATTATACTTCCTGTTGTTCAAAGGGTTTGCTTTTGAATAAAAGAAAAGAAATTTTTGTTTCAGGCAGATTCATAAACTGAAAAGGGAATGTTAAAGTACATGTTGGTTGAGCTTTTGAATGTAGAAAAATATGACTGCCACTGAGAGCTGCTAGCCTCCTCTTCTTTAAATGGGGAGAAACTGTTTTTGCAGTCTACTTGCT